TAGATATAATAAAAACCTCGCTGAAGAACACCAAGCTCATCTATCTCATTAAAAAACACTATAAACTATGATTTGTCTTCTTATTTGGTCTGTAATAAATTCCTTTCTGACTTTATATTTTTTTGTAGTGCAGGGGGGCGATGAAGTTGTATAAACTACTTTAGGGGGGCGATGGTCAAAAAAGTTTGGGAACCACTGCTTTAGACGACGGGTTGTATGCTCATTGTGAAGGTTCAGAATTTTTCATAAAATTCTGACAGTCAGAATTTTATGAATAAGTGCAAGGTTATCGCTACGCTACGTAACTATAAAATCGCTATGGATGGGCGTAGTTTGGGTTTTACATTGTTATTCCGTAACTAAGATACCAGTGACGAAAATTTTGTAAAGACCACAATAAAGATTTCTATAGGACACTTATTTAAACCTTTCTCTCCAAACAAAGCCATGTCCAAGCAGTCACTAATATCTAACAATATTTAAAGGTCAGGGAGAAACAGGATTTTCTAAATTCGGTTTTGTCTGCGCATTTTTCAACCTATTTGAGATGGTAGAAATTGGATTTAAACCAGAGATGTGTATGATGGCCCATCGTTGTCACGCGTAAAATTTAAAAAAAAATGAAAAAATAAAATGGAGAAGCGAAAATAAAAAAAATAGATGTGAAAAAACATAAAAATAATTGAAAAAAAAAGAAATAAAAAAAAATTAAAAAAAAAAATTAAAAATAAAAATAAAAAAAAACATGAAAAAAAAAATTAAAAATAAAGACGAAAAAAAAACATAAAAAAATAAAATAATTAAAAAAAAAAATGGATAAAAAGAAAATAAAAAGGTTAACAACGATGGTCCGCCTTGTGGCCCATCGTTGTCACGCGTTTTTATTTTTAGAAAATTTGATGCTGCTTGGGACCAACGTTGTCAGGCATAATCCTACACGCACAAATGTGTTTCCTGGGTTTCTACCTCACTACTGATTTTCATGAGCAATATTCAATAAATTCAACATGAAAGTGTTCTATAAATTCTCCATGCTACAAGTTCAACCATAAGCAATACATTTATAATAATGAAAGAGAATATAGAATTGAATACGAAAATTCGGAAAATTTGTTTTTACGTGTAGAAGGTAATTTAATTGGAAAATGCTGCTTAACTGCTCAGTTGTCTGGACACTCGTGCGATGCCGGTACGGTACCGTCTGACCGTTCCGGTGCCCATGCAATCACTCATGAAAGAATGAGAGATACGGATAGTCTCGTAGAATATAGACTACTGAATCACTCTCTGCGCCTGCCCCATACCGTACAGCCGTAACGTACCGATCGAGACAAATGATAAATCGCCCGTGCTCAATCATTTATTTCAATCCATACCTCGACTCACTATATTCTACTAGGATCGAGGTATGGATTGAAATAAATGGTTGAGCACGGGCGATTTATCATTTGTCTGGATCGGTACGTTACGGCTGTACGGTATGGGGCAGGCGCAGAGAGTGTTTCAGTAGTCTATATTCTACGAGACTATCCGTATCTCCCATTCTTCCATACGTGATTGCATGGCTACCGGTATTTGGTAAGACGGTACGGTACCGGCATCGCGAGTGTCCAGACAACTGAGTAGTTAAGCAGCATTCTCCAATTAAATTACCTTCTACACGTAAAAACAAATTTTCCGAATTTTCGTATTCAATTATATATTCTCTTATCATCATTATAAGTATATTACTTCTTGTTGAATTGTAGCATGGAGAATTTATAGAACATTCATATTAAATATTGCTCAAGAAAATCAGTAGTGAGTTGGAAACCCAGGGAACACATTTGTGCGCGTATGATTATGCCTGACAACGTTGGTCCCAAGCAGAAGCAAATTTTCTAAAAATAAAAACGCGTGACAACGATGGGCCACGAGGCGGACCATCGTTGTCAACCTTTTTATTTTCTTTTATTCAATTTTTTTTTTTTTTTAATTTTTTTTTTTTTTAATTATTTTTATCATTTTTTTTTCAATTATTTTTATGTTTTTTCACACCTATTTTTTTATTTTCGGTTTTTTATTTTTATTTTCAATTTTACGCGTGACAACGATGGGCCACCATAGATGTGTAACCTGCGTTGGCAACACAGTTGAGTCCCACCACTTCAACTGCTATTCCATCGCGCTTACTTACGAACAAGGTCGGACACCTTGCAGAGCCCGAGTATATTTGATGGTAAAGATCATCGCTTTACTACATCGTAACGTTGTTTTTTCGCGAATGACATCGAAACACCGATTAAAATAAGATTTTCAGACCACAGAAACGACCTAAAATATAACCGTTTCAGTGCTCAAGGTGTAAAATGATTGCCGACACAACCACGCATTTTATTGAGTGCAATTTACTAAATTTAATAAAGGTCCTATTAGGTTGCATCAAGAGCTACAACGACCATGCGTTTCACCTCAATACCGGCGTGATTAAAGATCGCTAGGGTGGGAAAATCAAATATTTTTATCAACCCGAATAATTCAAATATTTCTATCGATTACCAAATATTTTAAATAAATAACAAGAGTCCAGAACGTTAGCCGCCCTAATGTTTGTAAGCTAGCTTTCCGTCCGTTTTCTTTTTTTTTACACAAGTACCAATTCTTACGCAACGGTGGATGTCAAAGTTTTTGGTTTTTATATTTCTGGCAGAATAAGCGTCCACATCATGTTAAAGACAATTATCAGGAAGGGAATGTAGAGCTCAACTACTTTTATTCTGATTTATATGTTTTGCGGTTGTTTGATCTTTATTATCAGCGTTTGTGAATTAACCGTCCGAATTTTTAAAAGGCTAACAATATTATCTTCACTGGCTCAGGAATGCGGATATTCATGAAGACGATAGTTTACTTTTCTATCTTGTCTGAGTTATTTTTGCATTGAATAAAAACTATGCAAAGTCGGCATCGCGTGAATCCTGAATGCTATTTTGAGACTAAATGCTAGCCAGAATAATATTTATATCCCTAAATTTAGCGAAAAATGAATAGAATATCTTATTATCTTCTTCGACATTCCTCAGTCTAGGACAGTGGTTCCCAACCAGGGTCCGCGACACATTAGTGTGCTGCGAAAAGATTTTGGTGTGTCGCAAAAAGATTTCATTTTTGGATTTATTTCAAGTGATTCCAATTTCCAATCCCTTGGATTCCACAAGAATTACTCATGGCTCTTGCTAACAAACAGAAACGACAAATTTGAGGAGTCATATTTCAGATATTGTTTTAATTCTAAGTTTTGCATAATGCGCGCCAAGACCGTTTCGTAAAATTGGAAATGTCAACCAAGGTAACAAATTATTGTGCGAAATTTTTCCCAAATTTGACTAGTAGAATTGCCATTATTGCCTATTTATTTAATTATTACTTGAACTCAAAATACCATTTAGGATTCACGCAATGACTTTGCAGGGTTTATATTCACCATTCAATACGAAAATAAAACAGACACAATAAATAGGAAAGTAAAATTATGAGAAGGTCAACTATCGTCTTTATAAATATCCGCATTCCGACGTCAGAAATGATAATATTGTTAGCTTAAAATTGGGACAGTTAATTTACAATCGGTGGGGAGAAAGATCAAAACCGGCGTAAAAGATAAAAATCAAAATAAAATTCACACTCTAATAGCCGTCTTTAACATATGTCACCCATATGAACGCATAGTTAGAAATATAAAACCAAACGTTGCGTAAGAATTGATCCTAATTCTTTTAAAAAAAGAGAGGACGAGCGGAAATAGCTCACCAACATTAGAATGCCTAGCATTCTGGATTTCCATTGTATTTGTATTAAAAATATCCGATATTCGACAATTCGGTAAAAATATTTGAATTATTCGATTCGGTCAAAATATTTTGCCCATCCTTGCGAACTGTAATCATGCCAGTAATCAGGCAAAACGAGTGGTAGCACAAACACTGACGCAATGAAACTTAATAATAAAACTTTATTAAATTTGGTAAATTGCACTACTTCACAAACGCGTGGTGGAATTGACGATTATTTCATATCACGAACACATAAGCGGTTATTTTTCGGATAGTTTCTGCGGTCTGAAAAGTCGAATAAGCGTTTCGACATAGTAAATGCTACGATCTTTGCCATCAAATTATGCTCGGGCCTTGCACGAAACTCATAACGTGAAGAGATTAGTTCATCGGTGAAAATTGTTTATAACAACTTTAAACCTATTTAGTGTTTTTAGCGATAATAATTAATTGTTGTAATGAAATACGGGTTGTTTTCCTCTTTCATTTCCTTTGCTAGTGCCGACTGCCGACAATTACACCATTGAATGATTTTGGCAATGGGAGAAACATTAAATTGTAACAAAAATAAATTAGGGTGTGCAGAAGTGAGAATACATGTGATAATAATAAGACTACACCCAAGGCGAAGGGCGAGAAAAAACCAAAGCGTATCGCGTCAAGTATTACCCGTGCGGCCGCGCATCTTTCACAATAATGTGAGGTGCTCCGAAGGTGGGTCTCGTGTACATTATTGTAAGAAAACATTGGTGGTATCGGTAACTATTAACCATCCATTTAAAATGCAGGATATGTTATATTACCAAGAATAGAATTCCCCTTATCCGATCTTCTATGCTCTTTATTATTTTATAGCTAAATGGCTTCAAGAGTAGGAAATGTTCCTGTTTTGTGATAGGTGTGCCGCGAATATTTAAATAGCTCAATAGTATGCCGCGACATAAAAAGCAAAGCAAAGCGGCATAGGTCCCGTGGTACCCGATATTTGAATAGTAAAATTGTAAGAGATTTAAAAAAAAGATTATTGTGACGTAACAATGTATCAACACGACACCATGATTCTTGGTTGACAATGCAAGTTCGGCCCCGAAATTATGGGAACTGTCCGCCCCTGCCTACAATTGGTGAATAAAAAAGGCTTATCAGTATGAGACGAAAATAAATAATCGAGATCAATCTCAATTTCACCTTGGCACCACGAGTATTGTTTTTGAATCTTTCCATTGCTTCAGCTGTCAGTTCGCACCTGTTCATAATAACATCTTCCACTTCACATTGTAAAACGACAGATGCGAGCTGAGAAACACCTTGCACTCCCAAAGATCTGTTTCTCTCGACGTTAAGTTTCTTCAGCTGAATATAAAGGAGTTTGGAAAATTTTAAAAAGTTCAGCAGCGATTATAGGGTAGTTGATAGAATATATGTTTCGGAAAAAGAGAATATTTCAATTTTTTAAATTGTATAAACAATTCGAATGGCAATCATCCTGGTTTTTGTTCTGATTAAGTAAGCGCATCCGTAAAATCAAAATGGTCACGGGGTTAAATAAATCGCTCTTATGTTGAGTGGGAAACAATTTAACAAAAATCATTAGAAAATAAGACAATCGTCAAAATGAAGTTTTAATTTGCAAAATTCATGACATTATCTCGGTCTCATGTATTTTGCTTTGACATCTTCAATCTGTAATCGGAAAATATGTCATCTTCTTAGAAATAAGAAGTCAAATGCATATCAGTTGTTGCTGGATAAGAGCCTTGGTTTGGAAAATTTTTATGACGTGAAAAGTCGTAAGTGAACGTTTGGTGTGAAAATGTTGATCATTTCTAGAAGTTAGAAGGGCTGTGGTTCTGTTTTATCATGATACGACTAGAAAAATTATGGTAAAAAAAAACAAATGGATAATTTGTCTAATCATATTGCCGATAGTTTTAGCTCTCACAAGCAAAGCAACCCAGCTTTAAAAAATCACTCGAGTTTTACAAATCGGGTTCAAATCCCACGCCCACCATCTCACCTAAGGTGGGACGAATTGGGTAGAGTTTGTCTTTAGTCAGAAACGTATAAATATGCGCCAATCGTTACGATATGTTACCTTAGAAATTGATAGACTTTCTCAGTATTAAAAGTTGTCGGCATCGATGACCTAGCGATTAGAGCAGTGGCTCCCAAACTTTTTTTGCTTGCGGCGCACTATGCAAATAAAAAAAATGCGGCACACTTGTACAAAAAATGCTTTTATACGATGCTTATTTGAACCTTTCGCTCCGAACGTTGTGTGATAAGCAGCCACTGATATTTAACGATGTGTGAATTCCAATACTCTAGGATGCAACGGAATCTTTCCAATTCGGCTTTGTCTGCGCCTTTTTTTTACTATGGCTGAGATGATAGAAAATAAAAAAAAAAAGAGATGTGTAATGGCAACACAGTTGAGTCCAACTCTCTAACTTAGGGGTCGGCAACCCACGGCCCGCGGAGTAAAATAATCCGGCCCGCGTTTATTCTAATTTAATTTTTTCCACGGTGTGGACTTATAAATGGTTTTGTTATAATGTTGTTGTTATTCCGTATTACGGGAATTGCAAAACGATTTTTCCTCCTGCTTCGCTGACTTTAGTTCTCTTAAAAACGAGTTCAGTCTGTTTAGTACTCCGTTTGATGCTAACGTGGAAACGGTTACAGAAAATATTTAAATAGAGCTTCCTAAGATCCAATGCAATGAGGAAATAAAATCCACTTTTTATTCGAGAGATGTGTGAATGTTTGATTTGTATAAAAAGTATCTTTTTGAGGGAAATCTCTATATAAATTTGACAAACCATGCAAAAAAATCCACATCAATGTTTGAAAGTACATATGCGTGGGAACAATTATTTTGAAAACGAACATTACAAAGAACAAGCACAGAACTATTAGTGATGCCAATTTAAAAAATGTTTTAATCTAGGCTTCATCAAATGTGTCACCTGATGTCAAAAATTTATCGAGCGTAATGCAACAAGGAGTGTCAAGTTAAATTTGATTTTTGTCTTATTAAGACGACTTGAGTCTTGTACTGTTCGCTCGCTATTCAAAGTATATAGTTTCAACTTATGATCTTGGTAAAAAGTGTGATTTATCAGTCACCCGTTCGATTTTTAGATTTTCTTGAAAATATATGTTCGTCCCGCCAAGAATTGCAACCCTCAATGGTCTGTAGTAAACACAAGCAACGAAACGCTATAGCATCGCCAGAAACTGTCCGAAGTATAAATAGCATCGATTTGAAAATGTTGATTCAGACCTCTGAAAACTTGTAACCCAGATAAGAATAACGACAGATAACACCGTTATAATGACTTTGTGTTGGCTTAGCAGGTATTTTAGTGATCCATTTCATTCACGTTTTCAGAAAAAGATTTTCTTGTACAACGCACTGTGGTTGGGTTGTAAAATTGTAAATAGGAATAGAACGTAAAACCATTCGTGAATGTCGCTGTGACGACACTCATTACTTATCGATCTTAAGGTATTTGTCTGTTTGTTTGTCTGTCTGTTAGGTAAACGCCATATCTCACGAAAGCGAGGTTGAATCTTCAAATTTTGCATGTGCATTCATCATATTTCGGATCAGAAGCCAATTGATTTTGGATGAATTTTGTTGTATATTTAGCGAGTTATTAACTAATTAGTGATGAAGATATCTGGATTTTTGCAAAGCGAGAGATTTTTGAGACGCGCTGAATGTGTGTGTGCCAGCGCAAGTTTTCACGCTAGGGAATCAGAGCGAAGGATACACACCACTAGATCGTATCTCGTGATTAATCTTTAAGTATTGTCCATATCCCTCTTGTAACTTTGACGTCGTCGCGATGCGCAAGTTTCCTTCGAGAAATTTTCCACGCTATTGAGTCTAGAGACGTACCCATCTATCGGTATCGGCAATATCAGCCAATTTTTCGGTATCGGTAGTGTATCAGTATCGGCTAAATTTAAACCGATATTTCCGATATATTTAGCTTCTGAATATGATCTAGAATGTTTTGAAAATTAGGTTGGAATACTGATCTTGAAATTATTTTTTCTTGGATGGATCTTGAACTATGAGCCATGCATGTCCCCACCCCCGCTAATAGAGACGGGAATCCTATTTCGGCCTATTTCTAACCATTTATCAGCCAAACTGGCTAAATCAATTTGAGTATTTTTGCTGCCAAATTTTTACATTCAAATTTTTAATATTAGATGGTAATTATGGAAAAATATATCAATCGAATATTAGTGGATGTTCCGATGTGTAAAATATAAAATACGACGCTATATTGGTCCACAATCCTGCGCGCGTAACTCAATGTATCAGTTTCATACGATAAGTAGGCTAAACATTTATTTATTTTACCACCAACAGCAGCCAAATCCTATTAGTTTTCTAATTGAACACGAGATTACTAGCGCCACTGCTCAAAGCATCTGAATCAATTACCGCATTTGGATCCCAAACATCTACTTCTTAATAAATATATATGTGTGTGATATGTCATTTTTTATACGGAAATAATGTGCACTATTAATAATGCTCAAAGAGTATTGTTTTAAACCGTCTGTATTGCACACTCGAGGTAATATTTACATAGTATCGGAATATCGGCAATATCAGTCATTTCCGAATATCGGTGTATCGGTATCGGCGTTTTTATGGTATCGGATCGGTATCGGCGACAAAAGTAGTATCGGTACATCTCTAATTGAGTCAGAGCGAAGGATACACGCCGCAAGATCGTATCTCGTTAATTATAATTACTTTTTAAGCAATGTCCATAATCCTCTATCAGGTTCGGGGTTGCAGAATTCCTCACCAAAATATGGCTGTGTTTGGATAGCCGTCGCAACCCGGGTTAGCGCCGTTGTATTTGACACAAAATATAGGATTGGTAAATAGGCTATTGGCTGGAAACTAATCGAAACAATCAAGTTCGGATTTGCAGAATTTTTCGAATCGAAACCGCAGTTTCTGTTTTGGGGATCCCCTAACTTTCGATCGATAAGTCTTCGGTCTAAGACTGATATATTCGTTGGGTTGTTTACGACTTGCTGCGCCAATTACTGTCGACAATTATTACATTCGCTGCTGTTCGAATCTTTTATGCAATAATAATTAGAGAGTGACGTCATCAAATCGTCGAGTGAAGTGTTGAATTTGCAAATTCTGCAAATGCAATTGTGAATTTCTCGGTAACTATTTTAGCTATGATAATGGTTGTGTTATTGTTTGTTGGAAAATAACACAAGAAAACGATCAAACCAAAATGAAATATCGGACGCAATAACATTCAAGGTTGATTTCTACAAGTTTTTGAACATAGGTCGCATATTTAGAAAAATTTTATACGAGCGTCCTTTAGTGTCACCTCGCGGAATAGAACTCCGGCAAACGCTTTTAAAAGGGCATGAGGGTCGTTTTAGGGGTTAAATGGTTAAACGATAATGAAAAAGAGACCATACGAAATGGCCCCAGTATACTAGGCTAGACAGGTTATTTAACCGTCTCGAGTTTACAAATCGAGTTCAAAATCCCATGCCCACCATCTCACCGAGGGTGTAACGAATTGGGTAGATTATTGTTTTTCTAAAAATAGTATCTTCTTAAATATTGTTGGATGTCAGTGGCCGCTTATTCAGAGCCTTGTTAGCAGCGAACGACACAAGTATGCGTCATATAAAAAACAACTGAGGCGCATAATTTGATGACAAAGATCATAGCATTCACTATGCCGAAGCGATTATTGGACTTTTCAGAAAGCAGCAACTATGTAAAAAAGATAACCGTTATAGTGTTCGAGATATGAAATAATCGTCAATTCCACCACGCTTTCTTGAAGTTGAGCAATTTACTAAAGTTAATAAAAGGGTTATTAAATTTCATTGCGTTAGTGTTTTGACAACCACGTGTTTCGCCAGATTACTGATATGTTACTGTAGAAATTGAACTATTTTCTTAGTATTAAAATTTGTCGATGGCGATAACCTAGAGAGGTTGGAGCAACGTACGAATAACAAAAATAATGAATTTGAAATGTTGACTAAAGATGTTGGCGTCACGGGTTAAAGGCCTCAGATGAAAACTCAATGAATGATCTCCACCTCACACAGGGTGTTATTTAATTGAATAATCAGTGTCGAGTCGGGAGAAATGTATCACTTGAAAAATGAAACTCTTTTTGTATTATGGGATGCTTGTACACAGCCTTGTTTGCGGAGGTTGTGCTTGAGAAATCTTGAGATCGGTAACGGTAAAAACGTTTCATAAAATAATTTCATTTTCGTGCAGTGATGTTACTAATCCTGTCAAATCAACATGGTCGATAAGCCAAAATACAAGTTTTTACGTTGATTGAGAAAGATTTTGATCGTACCATTACAGATCTCACAATAGTTCATATGTTCATGATACACTATGTATAATCACGGCCTCCAATTTTTCACTCTAATAAATTTATATTTTGATTTAGGTATAAAATTGCGTCGCATCCATGTTTTTCTCCACTAAATGTTGATATATTTCTCAAATAATTCGATTACTTTTTCTTACACAATAGGTTCTATGTTTATTGTGAAGGTTCAATTGCGCAGAATAATTCTTATCAAACTAATGCAATCCTTTCACAGTCAGAATTTCATGAATATGTCTGTGGTTATCGCCACGATTCGTTTCCCTTGAAGCATAGCGTCTTCAACTGGATATAAATACATTATGAATAGCTTTGCTGCAAATATACCGCGATTAATAAAAAAGTATTTCGTAGACAAAAAAAAAATGTCGGAATGAAAATACATTTGATGGGTAAAGTGTATAACCAATGTAGATTTAAATATTCATTTGGCAATGGCAATCATTTGAGTCGTATACTTCTATAGTCAGGACTACGAGAAGTTTAAGATGCAATGGCCCCAAGATCGAGCAAACTGTGTTCAGGTTGCAGACCGAAGGGGATCTAGATTTCAAATACACCTCCCACCACTTCACTCCTGGTGTACAATGCGAACTTGAAATGTTCTGCCGATTCAGAAAGATATTTTTTGTAATAATACACAAGAAATACAGTTTAAAAAGTCAAAATATTACAATCAGACAGCCTTTTTAGATTAATTAATTTGATTATTAATTCTAACGCGAACAAAAATTAATTGAATAGTCTTATAATCACGTTTGTAAAAAAGTCTTTGATGCGATGCGAATCCGGAGTTGGCACCAAAGTTATGTTGTAGACCAGGATCGGACACCTGGAGGGCAGTCGCAGTAATCTGGTCTACATTTAAACACAGTTGTTTCCACCTTACAAAATTATCATTTCCGGAAAGTGAGGTAATCAAGCGCGAACAAACGGTTAATAGTTATCGATAATATAACTGTTTTCTTACAATAATGTACACTACAGCGGCTTCCGAGAACCTGCATTATTGTAAAAGATGCGCGGCCACTCAAACGCATGGCCGATGACGCGCTTCGATTTTGCTCGCCTTTCCCCGTTCCACGCCACGCTTTTATTGTTATCACTGGTATTCTCACTTTTGCACAACTTTCGGTAATTCATATTTGGTACAATTTGATATGTTTCACCCATTGCCAAGATCATTTAATAGAGTTATTGTCGGCACTTGCGAGAGAAGGCAAACAAACTGTATTTCATTACAACAATTAATTATCGCTCAAACACTAAATAGGTTCAAAGTTGTTACGAACAATTTTCACCGCTAGACGTATCTTTCCAAGATATGAGTTTCGTCCAAGGCCCGAGCATAATTCGATGACAAAGATCATAGGATTTACTATGTCGAAGCGATTTCTGTGTGCTAGCAAAAGCCGTGGGGTAATTCTCGCAAAATTAAAGTGATCGGTTTGGTGACGCGCGAGTTCGTTGTTCCACCAAAGCGGCTAGCTACTGGAAACATAGTATATTGACATGCTAATACCAAAGAGAATGACCAAAGAGACGGCGCAGTGTTTTTTGGTTGGCAATCCGAGTTCGTCCCAAAAATTATGGAAAGTGTCCGCCTCTGCTAAAGACAAATAAAAATATTCGCGTCCTTAATTTTATGGCAAAAATTTACTGAATAACGTAAAATATTTATTTTGTAAAAATAGATCATTATGCGGTAGATTTGGTAGTTTTGCTGGGCCTAACTATGTGGGCTTCGCGAGTTAAAATTATCTCGAGTTCTAATTCCATAGCAACCACCTCGAAGGGTAATTGAATGGAGTGTGAAGGGCCAAATCATAACGAAGCACTGAGTAAGTATCAGTGTTGCTTGTACTCTTGCAAAGCCCTATTATGAGTGGAAGTGAAAAAAAGTCTCGTTCGGAGATGTCGATAATCCGGAGAAGACAAAAGATGGCTGCCAGACAGAACATATTATATTAGCAATTAATTTTTTTTCACAATGCGAATAGAAACATTACGGCCGTAAAATAAATGTTGATAACACAGTAAGGAATGAATAACCGATGCACTACAAGGCCGGTTATTGACACTTACTCCAAATAAATATTGCAAAATTAGCATAAAACATCAGCCTATTTTCTTCCATATGGAACGTCCTCGCCCCTAGCTGTCGAATTCCGGTTCTGGAAGTCTTAATAGCGGCTAATATTAACGGAATTGGTTACATTCGTTGCATTTATAAGTTTTGTACAGTAATAAATAGAGCGTGAGCAGCGTGAAACCTTCGACATCACCCGGTGCCAAATGATGTATATTATATATACGTCGGTGTCACGGAGAGTGTAAAAAGTCATCGAATTGTTTTTGCAATCGTATTAATTGCGAATGCAGGTACATAAAAAAAGTAAACTTAGACAATAAAGTTGATCATTTGTGTCGTAAATTTCTTTGATAATTTTGTTTGGCTTAACTATGCTGGCGTCGCAATATGGAAATCCTGGTATGAATACGCCGGTGGTTATTGTTACGAATTGTGACGTTGGAAAGCGTACGAAGCTTTTGGATTGTTATGCACATTCTGGATCATATGGATTGATGAAAGCTATTTAAATTAATTTACGTTCTTCTGCAAAATAATTCGACGGAAAATAGTAAGCTATTTTTATATTAATCAGAAATTGGGTATTTCTTCGGCTCAATTAAATTATGTCAAAATCAAAATAATTTGTTATTACAGCAGAACCTATTGTATTAGTGTTGTAACTGGAAAGTATTTTTGCAATGATTATCTTTCTGACGTAGACTTCATAAGCTGAAAAATGTGTAGATTCGATAAAGGTTGCCATGAGCGCTACAGCTAACTATGTTGCAAGGTAAAAATCGATCGAGTAACCTATGCTGAACTAGATAGATTACGGTTCCTCCCAAAAATGTTGCTCATAACGTATCGATGTCTGCTTGCACCGAGCCTTCTTTAGAGTGAAGATGGGAAAACCCCGCTTGGAGATAATTTGGGTGTAAAAAGATTATTACCTAATATTTTAAATATATTACCGAAGGAACCATTTGACTTTCACAAGAAAAAGCTGATTAGCCGTTAGATTATATTTGCGATTACAGTAGTTCTCACAATCGAAATAAGACAAAGATAGTCACGGACTCTTGTATTTTAATATATATTACATGATCCAACAGGTCTTAGGGTTCATATACAAGTCTAATACTAACACGGGTCTTTAAACGCGGTTCAGCGTTTAAGAGCAGTCATTAAACTGATTACTCGACGCCATTTATAAATAAATTGGAATACAAAATAACTTGAAGCCACAACGTGTTTGATTCATTTTGAACTGCAATGTTTTAGGCATGAAGATATGGAATAATGCAGAAAATATGTTGATGGTCAAATAATATTGCTTATCTACTCACTTTGCTGTTCCCAGCGTGTTTTTTGAAAATCCCCAAGTGATTTGCTTCTAAATGGCTGTGGGCAAAATTGCACTCCCTAACGTCGTATATCGAACAAACTTCGCCATATTGAGAGGAGAGAGTATTTGACATTTTGTCCCGTACCGTGAGGTCATGAATCACCATCTATGAATAATTTACAAAATAGCGAATTAGCATTCAGTCTAAATATTTTTGAATATTCTAAATGTTTCATCAGGAAATGTTTAGCTGGGCTCTTAAAAATGTTCAAGTCATATTCAAATTATGCATACGACTGCATATCAATGTATATTGTTTGGATTGTTCTCACACTTGCATCCCGAACAGAAATGTGTACTTCAATCACGGATACTCAAAAATACATTTCACTTATCCAAATGAGATATCTATTGTATATACGGTGAAGTATGTCTATCCATTAAAAGTATCTACTGTGTGAAGTATTGAAATATCTTTTATAATGAAGCATGAAATGGCCTTTCGCAACTGGGAGTCGAAACCTTCGCTCTTGCTTTCGCGTGATGGCGGCCTTCAAGCGCTCAAATTTGAATTGACACCTTTGAATCTCAGCTGATTTACAATAGCTTCCACTATTTTGTCATAAACTTTGTATATAAGCAAGAAAGTACACGTATTCGCCATTTTGAACATCAATTTTAATATGATCAATTATCAAGATATCCATGACAATTCAATATCAAGATTTAACAGACCTTTGCTCAGTGCCCTCGAAAACTATGATAAAATACATGTTTTTTTGGAATGGGCGTTAATTTGTCATTTTTAGAATCTCCTTATCACAATTGCTTATTCCAGCGAAAGCTATGTCATCTAAGCTAAGCCCGTTTCATATAACAGAGAAAAACTATTTGAAAGCTTGCAAAAACGTGCAAAACAGAAAAAAATAACTACAAAAATTGCAAATAGGGATAAAACATTCTGGAAATGGGCCTTAATTTGTCATTATCAAAATACCCATCTCAGTGACTTTTTCCAATGAAAACTACGTCATTTATATAACTAAACCAGCATCAGATACTATTCAAGGTAAAACATTGTATGTTGAAGGGCGGAGTGTATATTGCACTCAACCAACCCTTAACTGTAATTCAAATATTTATTTGCCCAGTATAATAAACTTGCTAGATTAACTTGCTCTCATAATTACTTTCTTGCATACCTTTTTTGATCCTTTGCTCCTACTGAGGATTCCGATATCATCCTCATCAAATGATTTTTGATTGTTTGTTACGAACTTATCAACATGAGATTCAACAAACGCAGAAATATCAATAAATACTTCTGCGCTTATCATGCTTGAAGGCTTCCAAGTGAAGTTGTTTATCTGAAGGAAAATTTAAAACATTGATTTTTAATCATTCGATTGTCTCATAACTTTCTCAACAAAATATAAAAGCGACACACAATTATATAAAACTCCAATACGCTTAGTATGATCCTGAAAATATTAAATTAACTAGTTTTTTGGGAGGTTTATATAATTCAAGGAAGTTTGAAGATCCCTATCTATTATTGCTATTGTCAAAAATTTAGCAAGTTTACTCAACTACTCGGTTTACGTCAATTCTTCTGTTTCATTATGAGAGCACGCAAATCGTTTTGATTATATAAAATTTAAAATTGTAATACCGTTCCGCGTTTGTAAGTATCTGCAAATGCCAGCAAAGCGTCATAACTGCAGTAGCAATGAATATTGACTGATACAGCAGCAAACGATTGCAGAAGAGAGCTCAATTCTTTCATTCCGTCGCGTGATATTTCGACTTCTGTTTGGGTGAATTCGAAACTTGAAATCTGAAAAATACATTCATTTTAAAATGCTACTACAATCAAGACTAGTGGGCTTGATGGTTCCATTTTTTTATGAAGAAATACGAGCGCCACATGCGTTGCTTAAAGGTTGGCAGAAAACCTAATTATTAAAAAAAAATATTTGTTCGGACAAATTAGGGAGAGCATAAACATAAGGAAACAAACCTTCAGCTGAGTATTATTGACATTCTTTCCCAATATTCCGATCGACTCGCTATCCAGATTGCATCGGGAAAAACGAACGAGATCTAGCTTTTCGCTACGTCGCATGACCGATGCAATCGCTAGCATTCCACTGGGGTTGATGGTTGTGGTTTCGAAATTGATAACTTTGACGTGATCCTTGATTAAATCAGCATCATTTGCTTCGTATAGAGAGGCAAACATTTCCATTAAAGAAAACGAATCCTGTGTTTGTTTGAGTTTCTCGTCCATGCTACGTCTCAAAATGTCCCGTTTTTCGTTTTTTTGGTCAACTGCAAAAAAAAGATATAAATTTAGTTTCTATCCGTTTCGCGCAAATATACACTCATGTACAAAAATTGGGTGCTTGGGTTGATGTTGTCAAAATATACCAAAAGTAGTAAAAAAATCCTGACATAACTTGACAGTTTATGAACTTAAGTTTATGAGAGAAACTCACTTTTAAGTAATTGACCGAATTCATCCTTCGCCAGAGTGTCGTTGAGTAGATTTCCACAAACAAACCTTCGCACTACCGACCAGTGATCACGATGAAGAGAGTTATGCACAAAATCTTCAAATTCTGGTAAATTCATCTCACAAACGTAAAGAGCAGCGAGTATCTCTTGAATCGTCTGGTGACTAAAGAAGAAACGATATTGCCCGTCAAGTAAATTTTGTCTAAACATCGAATTGCCTGGAACTTTGATAACAATGTCCCGAATGGTTTCCGTGTCGATGCCATTGTCTTTCAATTCTTTACTCTCAAATACGACGCGTTTTTCACTCGTTCCAGTGAATGCGATTTTCTGCAGTTGATGAAGGATTTCTGCTATTTTTATCTTCTCGCGTATATGCTCGGATTCGATTAAAATTTGAAGGATGTGCAGCATGACACCTGTCATGGTATCAGGTGTGTTGTCAAGATCGTATGCCTGGACGATGGCGTTGAACATCAAGAAAACAGGAACAGAAAAGAGCGGAATTAAAAGAGGGGCAGATGAGCTTGTCTTATCCCACTGTTGTTGACCAATATCGCCTAGCAAGGCTACGAATAGATCTTTTGCATCATCAGGACTTAGCCCTGTCAAAGCGTAAATTAGATCAGGTCGAAGTTTACCAGTTAGTGGGGCAATGCAATGCTCCCGAGAAGACATGACAATTTTGACTCTGGGGAAGAGATGGCCAGAAATTACGTTGGACATCACGGTGGCTGTGCTAGCTTTTTCGCCGTGCTTTATTTTTTGGTGGCATTCTTGAAGAGTCCACGGTGCCTGATCCAATCCATCAAAGAAGAAAATGACATCTTCTTGATTATCGATGACCCATTGATATCCATCGACAATGGTATTGCCATCCAAGTCGGTAATTACGTTGCCAAACAGGAGGTCTTGGGCACTGATTGCGTCGGAGTCAACAAGGTCACGAATATTGACAAAATAAACAAGTTTAAATCGATTCTTGAAAAACTTTTTGAAAAGGCCAGTTGGTGAATACCACTTAGAGGTTAAGCCACTAGAACTGATTACGTCGCGGACCATTCTATCCATCATGGTGGTTTTTCCGCTGCCTGCTTGACCGACAAGTTCAATATGTCGTACTGTTTCATCATTGAAAGTTTCAATCAGTTCTTGCAATGAAACTCCTACCCCCTCAGTGACATGTTCTTGCAGAGCACTAAACCCAGCTTCTTTCCTGTATTCTGTTTGTTTCGGTGCCATTTCTCCGTGATAAAAACGAGTTATCCTTTTTATTTTCGGATATACCTCAAACGTCGGTTCCGTGAGCTTTTGTTCTTTGTATGTTTCGGTAACTCGTCCAATTGATTGTTTCCAGGCTCTTTTGCAGACGGTCTTTTGAAACTTCGATACATGCTGACCTATTAATAATTAGTTTAATCTGTATTTCTGAATTTTCTTCGCAATTTTTTAATGTAACCATAACCTATTTTAAACTTCGAAATTTTTTACAATAAATTCACATCTAAAAGTATAATAGATAAATGTATCCTCGATATAAAATAAATATTTTTGCTGTCCTGTATAATAATATCTAATTTAAAGGAACAACACCTAAATTAACTCGCAGATTCTTGTTGAAACTCATATCGTTTTTTATTTAAAAATAAACTTTTCAAATGAAAGATGGTTATAATATTCATTTGTTTAATGGGGTGCGGTATTATGGGTTGACATAGATTCAAATAACATTTTTTGACTTTCCATTAACTTTCCATATCACTCAATATAACCTTCCTGACGCACATTTACTTTCATATTTATTAGTAAAACCTCAAAACGCAATACTCACGTGCTCTGAAAATGCCGAATAAACCTCCAGAGCCTGAAATAAATGTTTGTTGAGTTTTTAAATTACGAATATGATTCTAGCAAGTCCTTACTTTCCTTCTCACATATTTGAGCATATTATTTGAAAGCTTACATAATTTTCGTACAAATCAACTATCAATTTGAAAACCGAGGCCGCAAACACCAGTCGGGTTCGGGTGAAAAATTCAGACATGGGTGTCTGTTGTTTTACCTATATCGCATAACATACATAATTTTGTCATTTTTTTTTATTACAAAATACAAACAAAAATGACTTCACTTATTCGGGAATTATTCAGGGGTCAAAATGTATTGGAATAGCTTCAAATAACTTGCCGTAGTGTGATATAATATGAAATACAAAATACATACTTGTTTTTTGTTCGCTCTTTTGGGCGTTATTCTTTTTGCCTTGGGGAGATTGTTTTATTTCTTTTTCATCGCTATCACCGTGACTTGGCCCGTCTTGACCTAAATATTACATATATAATATATTTATTTGAACATCGCAATTGAACACAAATAATCAAGTTTGGAAAATTTTAAATAGAGGAAAACAGAAAAAAATAGTAACTAACAACTGTCAAAGTTTAGTACGCCTCACAATTATGTTTAAGTTGGACAATTATTCAAAGTATGCGATAGAACTTAACAACAATTATGTAATACCTGTTTCGTCATTGTCTCTTGTGCTAGACTTCTTTCTAGTATCATCATTGGATTCTTGACTCTGTCGTTGTTGACTAGTAGATGCTTGACTCGAACCTTCAGCACCTAGAGGAGTCAAAGTATATAATGATATAATATGATTCCAATCTCTTTAGCCGACTTAACTACGTATCTCAAGTAAATACTTCAGAAAATCAACACACTACAAAGAAAGTAATTTGAAAAGATACAACTAGAAATGGCACTCAGAGGCAAATGGAATAAGAGGCGAATACTTATTCTTATTTTGATATATAACCTCGTTATTTGATTAGTATTTTGCAATTATACTTCGACTGAGTGAATTTTCAAAAAAAAAAATTCAGAGTCAAAAAACAATGACGTCATTCTCACCTTCTGGCATAAATTCTTCTTCAGAAAAATAATCATCAACCAATTTTTTTATTTTTGCCGATAAATTTGACTCTTCAAAAAAATCTGAAATAATAGAAACCATGAATAATTTATACTTTTTTTTATAATTTTTTTAATAAGTTATGAAACATAAAAATGAAAAAGAAATTTTTTTCACCAGTTTTTAGTTTCCAAGCCAGCAACATTTCAATGCATTTGTCTCCTGACGAGCTATTAGCTTCGTCAATTGAACGAACTTTGCTACCATCTAGTGAGAGACCACGCTTAGATCGAGCAAAACGTTTGAACTGTTCGATATTTGCAAATCTTTCTACGATCTTCTGGAAAACGTCTTCAAGTCTTTCGCCTAATGGAAAATAGTAAAAAAAATAGAATAAGCTGTATTGTAATTAATTGTCAATAACTAAATCATAGAAATATTGGTGACGCATGCTATATAACACGGGTGGCCAACCTGCTTTTGACCGCACACAAGCATCCAAAAAAATCCACTGCTGCCAATGTTCGATTTGAGAAAGTTGTTGGTTTGAATATTTAATTGTACCCGGAGTAAATGTTTCATCATTCATTTAAGATTTATTCAAGTCATACAATTCATATATACTACGTGCCTAATTTTTAGTCCTAAGTGTTGAAAATTCTTTAAAGGAACTTCAAGTATGTCTGTCAAGTATTTATGTATTATCTGATCATGAAAAAATAAAAACAAATCATGAATGTTACATGACTGATCAAACTTCAGTATCTAATTTACAATTTCCTCTAAGTGCGATTCTTTGTTAGCTTGGAATTAGAAAAAATGGGTATCTTGATGCCACTGCTACCATTGCGAATAACATTCATGACACTACTCTTGGAATGAGACAACAACTTTTGCATACTGCAGAAGCTGTTGTAGGAGCGTTTGTCAGTCAAGACACGATATATTTGGCAGCGGCAAAACTTGCATTTGTTAAAATGCTTTTTCGGGATTGCGCAGACTGAAATACTGTATGTGTATATTGAATGTTGCGCATGTATGTACAGTACTGTATTCTTGCTGTTTTAAAACCCACAATTGATTGAAAGCAATTTTCTGGGGATTTTTTTTTAATTCACTTAACATCAAAAGCGATCGACTGCTCGAGACGTGTTGGCCTTCCCTGCTATATATGAAAGATTTTGATTGTCGTGTCCGTGATAAGAATTAGATCTACCGCGAATTAGTGCACGGCATTGAGTCGTCGTGATATGATTTTCGTGAACTTTTCCAAGAATTGTCCAATAATATTTCAAATAAGCCGACAAATATTACAATATTAATCTGGTTTTAGTTTTTTTTCTGGCCTTATAGTCGAAGTACCCACCAGGTACATAAGATTCCTCCATTTTGAAGTAGTCGGTAACAAGTTGTCTTAGCTTTTCATTTGTTGCTCTTGTTCCTGCAAACGTTATTAAAACAATAATATTCGATACGGGTTTCAAAAATGGCCTGAAATAATGAATTTTGATTTTTATGTTCACACGGCCTCGTAATGATCTCACAGATTGTTATTTGCCAAACAGTAATATGTTATCGAGCTTTCCAATTTAGCGAAATTCCAGAATGGTTTCGAACAACATGCTCATTCGTAATTGGGTTCACAATTCTAAGTTACTTTGTAATGTATGATATTTTCAATATTGTAAAATTTAGGTGTAAAACATGTCGTTTTGTAGCAAGCAGTGCAAAAGTTGACAAGATTGATAAAACAAGGACTTTTGAATATTATAAGCAACATTCATATCGAACCATTTTTCTCTGCCCAATGATAAAGAATTTGAATTTTTTGTTCTTCGTCTGATTCGTAGTTGTTGCTCGCAATAATCGATACGACGTCATTGTGATCAAGGACAAGACCGATCTCAGATTTGGCAAATTTCTTGAATTCTCTCATTGGGAATTTTTTGGCTACTTCTGAGAATACATCTTCCCGTCGTTCCATCTCCATTTCTGTGGTTATATTAAAGTCAATATTTAGTTTGAGAAGAATTTAAAAAGCGCTTATAAGGTCTAAGAATATTTTAGAATATTGATAAGCATTATATCTATCGATAGAAACAAACATGAATGAAAAACATTTTTTATCCTGGCCTCTATGTGGAAAATGGATTTAATGAAATATCTGAGCGAATTTCCTTATTCATTCAAATCAAAATAAAGGTTGGACATTTGTTTGATGGACCACAAAAATAACTTTAACGGCGATGCCTAAAAGTCGTTGTCGGCGAATCAATGCTTTGTAAAAGTTTGGTGACAAATAAATAAAAAGAACACAATAAATAAATAATAAATATTGAAATAAAAAAACTGAATTAATTCTAGTTTTTGTTTTAGGTCAGTGCTCACTAACGAACTGTTATAGTGAATTCAATTCAATGTATAGGAGATAATAAACGTTCATATGAAATAAATAAGTACTCACTGGAGATTTTTCTTCCTGGAGAGATATGTCAGTCTCGGCTGTTTGTAGTACAAATTTCTATCTAAATTATGCAAAAGATTTCTGTCAAATGCAAAATTGTTTGGTGTTAAATTGATTTTAGTTGAGATATTGTTCATCATCAACACCATATAACAGTTTTTAAGTTAGGTTATTCTAAAACGAGAGAGCCGATAACAGCAACGCATTTTAAAGAAACTGAAGTCATATGTCTGCCTTGAATTTTATACAAAAATAGGTAGATTCTAAAATGTTATCCTTTTTGAAACAATTTGGACAAGTCTTTCAATACCAATTTCAGATTATTCAGTTTATGTGTCAAATCACGTTTTCAAATAGATTATATTTTGGTGGAAATTTGATATATCGTTGAAATAAACCGACAATAACCAAGTTAGTAGAAAACAACTTTGATATACCTAATGCATTCAATGTGTTCATTCAAAATATTTAATTCTTGGTAAAACTGTTTCTAAGCATTCTATTAACATGAATTTGATTCAAAATCGAAAGGGTGTTATGTATTTACATTTGCGGATTTCCTCATGTTTAATTAATAATATAGGAAAATGCCAGTCAATGAGATGAAATTTATAACAATCCATTCTGTCTGCGATACTACAAAATGCTATGAAAAAAATCAAACATGGCGTCGTAGGGGCGCTTGCGTGTTAATTAGACTTGAAACATTTGCGAGAAATATTATTCACCAGAGGATGACAGGATATGCCGCCAAATTTCTTTTCGAAAAAATATTCGTTAGGGTGGGCAATGGCATGGTAAACGCAGAAATTTGGTTAAATGCAGAAAGAGTCGGTTACAAATCATTGTAAATAGAATGCCACTTATTGACTATAAATAAACAATGAGTGGGTAACGTATACAGATGATGAGATAAAATATATAGAGACTGAACGTTAAAATTACCCAACTTATTGCGTTTTTTTAAAGACGGTGTGACAATAAATTTGAATAGCAGTTTTCTTCAGAAATGCATTCGTTTTAACTCACCTTTTCTGCAAAGTACCCTATGTCGTAGGAACTTCGCAACAAAACAATTATTTGTTCCGGCAACAACTAAAAAACGTATCTTGTAATAAAGGTTGCGCACCCGTGTTCTAGGCTCAATTCTAAACAAGCACACAAACTAACTAACCTCAACTACTCAACTATGAGTGGGTACCGTATACAGATGAAGAAATAAAAATATTGAATCTGAACGTTAAAATGCCATAACTTATTTCGTTTTTACATAAGGCAGTAAACACAAGACAGAGGAAAAAACAGAATTACGGCTTTCATCACTTTTTAAAACATACTCACTCTAAAGTTAATGCAATACAATCCCAACCCCTGGCATAATCAAATTTAATATGAAAAGTACAGAACCTCCTCTAATCTCATTCAGGCATGGAACCAAGCAATGCTTTGTTTAAACGATATAATCGGTCAGAGACCGAAGACTTATCGATCGAACCAGGGGATCCCCCAAAACAGCGCTTTTACTCCATAGTGACACCTTGTGTCTCATCACTAATTAATTAATAACTCGCTAATTATACGACATAATTTATCCAAAATTATTGGGTTTCTGGTCCGACATATGATGAATGCACATGCGAAATCTGGAGCAGATTCAATCTTGCTTTCGTGGGATATCGCGTGCATCTAACAGACAGACAGACAGACATACAGACAAATACCTATCAACATACTATAAGTAATAATAGATTCAAATTTGAAACCCAACTCTCTGTTTTATCCCATTACTCTATTTGATATTGGTCTCGTTTTTATTTTAATCTGAACAAATAGATCGATACTGAATCATGAAAAATTACCAATCGGAAAAATTCGTGTACAACTCAAAAATTTGTTCGCCTACTTTACATCAAGTTGTGTAAAAAGACTGAATCTTACGGGCAGGGGGTATATTCACTTGGCTAACACAGACAGTACTCAAACTCGTAATAGAACTTATAAGGAAAATCGAAATAAAATTATGGCCAAACCCTAACCTGGTACAGTTACTACCGGAGTACCCCTAATTCTCTGTCTGTACGGCTGGATCATTCAGGACGAAAGTTTTCACGCGGGTTATCCTGTCACCCTAATAATGTGCGTTTCGTTGAAAGTCCGGATTGAAGTTTCGTCCCAAAGGTAACAACGAAAACGGCGCCGGCCCTTTCCAATTTATCTCCGTTTTCTCGCCAACCAAGTCGAAAATTGAAATCCCAGGAACACTACCTTCCGCATTCAGTAGGCACGCATATTTTATGCAATGAATATATTTTAGAACTTTCATTTAACGCAAAAATAACACACACACGATAGCAAAATAAAAACAGAAAAAA